TATATATATATATATATATATATATATATATATATATTTATATATTTGCAGTAACTACTCAAATATATATATATGTATTTCTTTCACAATAATTACATATTGAATTAATTTCTACAAATTATATTTTTTACAACTGTATTATTGTCGATTTTATTCAATTAAGTTATAGATATACAAACATACTCAGTTATGTAAGTCTGTATTTGAACAAAATAGTTTCATTTTTCAAATAATATATATTTCCATTTAGATAAAAATGAAAATGAAGAAAAGTATTTGGAAGGAAGACAGGAAGAGAAGAAGGTAGGCTTTGCACAGGTAAGGTTACAATAAAACTACTTAAAGGACTAATCATAAAATGCAGGATATGTAATTACATGCATATACATCCATCAAACATATGCAGTTAAATAAAAAAAAAAAAAAAAATGATGAGCATAAAAATACTAATTAATTTAAGTAAGTGAAGAAATAGAAAATAAATTAGTGCTTAGATGAGACTTGACGAAGACGTTGTATGAAGCGGGCAGAGAAGTTGAGTGCAGTAAAAATAGTAAAAGAATTAGCAAAAATTGCATAATTAAATTATATAAAAAATACAATTTATTTACAGCAAAGAAAAGGTTTTTTTTTTTTTTGAGAAAATACAATGAGTTATACACAGACAGAACAAGAGTATAGCATAAAAGCTGCGTATGTAGTTTTAAAGAAAGAAAAGACAAAACAAAAAGAAATAAGCTTCACTTAAACATTAACATTATAATACTGGGCAAAATATATAAGTACATTTAATGTTACTCATTGTGAATCATACTCGTATATTTTCTGAATATAAGTATTTTTTTTACATAATTTTTTCCGCACGTGCACGTATTTTTCATGTTGAGATTGAGTTTTTTTTTAGAAATTTATTTTTATAAGCACTTTCTTTTAATTTCTAAGATTTTTTTAATATTATATTAAAAATTATGTTAATTATCAATTTCCTTTTTAATATTTCTCTGAACAATTAATACTTAAAAACAATTTTATATGCATGATTTTTTTTTTAACTTTGTTACATTTTCGATTACTGTATTTAAGGCACTTTAAGCATAATAGTTTCTTTTAATTAAGGAATTATTAAAATATTTAGTTGTGCAAAATTAAATTTACTATTTTTACTACATTCCACTTCTTTTTTGCAAGTAAGAAGTAACAAAAGAACAAAAAAAAAAACTGAAAGAACAAACAAAAAGTGTGTGTGCCTGCACTAAAGCGAAATATTTAAATTTATTACAAATAAAAACAATATAAATTTAAAAGTTTTGTTTTATATGCACGCACACACACTGCATTGTATGTTTGTATGCTACTAATAATACATAAAATATCTCTTTTCATTAGCACATTTTCTAATTTGTGCTTTTATAGTTTTTTGTTTTTGTTTAGTTTTGAGCTTTGATTACACATTTTATACCTATATATATATATTTGTAAACTTAAAATCGAACTTATGAGCAAAGTGTGTTACTTAAATTTAAATTTTATTTATATATATGTGTATATATACATATATAATGTATTTTATTTATTATTATTATTGTATTTCCCCATGAACATTTGGGTGAAAATATTGTATACTTTTTTGTTTTCGTTTTGTCTGCTTTTCATTTGTTTCAAACAGTTTTCTTTTGCGCAATTATTTTTGTTGTTTTTTTTTTTTGCAAAGTGAAATTTTTGTTTTACTCTTTTTAATAATATTTCAATTAAGCAGTTTTGTTCATTTCTTTGATTGCATCAGCGGCGTGGTGAGTTTTGCTGAAGCAAGTTTTACACAACGCCACTAAACTCAGAAAATTGTTTACGTATTTGATTTTCAGCGTATAAAAAGCCAATTACTTTTACTGCATCTTTTTTTCATTGTTTTGGTTTTTTCTATTTCATATTCAAAGTATCTGTGCAATTTTGATTTTAGTTTTAAAACTACACATTAAAATGGTTTCTTTCGTCTTTTATCATTTTTAACAGTACAGTTTTCATTAATGTATGTATCTTTTAAGTATTTATTACATAAAAATATTTTTATTTACAAATTGCACTTATTTTTATGCGTGTGTGTGTGTGTTTTTTTTTTGTATTGCCGGTGATCTCTTTCTATGCTAACGTGTGTTCTTGTGTGCTTTTGTATCTGTTTACCTTGTTTCTATTGTATTTATTGTACTAAAATAATTACTAAATTTTATAACACATTTTCATTCAATTTAATATATTATTAACCACTTTTAACTAAATTATTTATTTATCAAAAAAAAATATTTTGTCTTTTTGTATGCAAAATTGTATACAATTCATAAAAGGTAGAATATATAACAACTGGGAAGGGAGTGTGAAAAGTACTTGCAGCTTTCAAAAAACATACTCATAATTCCCACAAAAAAAATGAAATAGTAATTTTTTTGCCTTTCTTACTCCGATACACATATTTACATCTAACAGTAATTAACTTCCATTCCTTAAGCTTTCACTCTTTTATTAAAGCACTTTTCTTGTATTCCAAATAGAAATGAAAATGTCCAAAAATTTACACGCTCACAGGCCAACACTAAAAGAGTTCACAGTTATGAGATTTTTACAAAAAAAAAAAAAGAAACATAAAAAGCTTTCATTGAAACCGTCGTTTCACGTTTGTGTGTGTGATGGGGATGTTGCTATAAATTTTGAGCAAAGGGCTTTTTGAAAGCCCACAACAACATGTTATACCTTCACACCTCTATATGTATGCATAATATTATATATGAACAAACATACATATTAACAATACATATTCATCTTGCAGTTGCAACGTGAATATGTGTACATGTATGCCATTTTAAGTGTGTGTGTGTGTGTGTCGTATTAGTGGTAGTAGTGGAAGTAGACTTAGAAATGCGTCACAACAATATCTTCTTCGAGATCATCAAGCTCATCATCTGTCTCCTCCACTTCAGCGGTGGCATTAGCCTCGGCGGCAGCTGCTGCGGCAGCGGCTTCCTTCTCTTTGGCGGCAGCTTCCAATTTCTCTTGTTTCTTTAGCTTGCGTTGCTAAAAATTAAGAGAAAAAAAATTATACATATATGTAAATAACTGTACACGTAAAACACATTTAATTTAATTAACTTACCTTTCTTCTGTAGAGAATCTCCACAATGGTATAACCAATGCATCCCAAAGCTAATACAGCCAACAGCACATAGAGTTTCATTGCCGCACACAATGTTGTAGCATAAGCGTAAGCGATAACGAAACCAGCTGATTCCCATAGACGATAATTGGAGAAGGCCGCTTCCTTGTTGCGTCGGAAGAGCAAACCGTATAGACCGTTAATTTGTGTCTGCCATACTGCATCACCAACACCCCATAGACCAGACATAGCATAGAAGATAAGTGGATTCTCAGGACTTGGACGCCAGAATAACTCAACAGAAATAAGTGTGAAATGCACAACAGCGCCGAGTATGATAATTGGCAAGCGTCCAATATATTTCATAACTGAGCCGAATAGAATCGAGCAGATGGCATTAACCACACCGAAGCAGATCATCACGAAACCAATTTGATGTATACCCAAAGCGCATGATACATAAGCCTGTGTAAAGTCAGCGCCAATGAAAGCCTGTTCCATACCAATGAAAACTGTAATGGGTATGAGTAATTGCTGGTTGGGTTTCTTCATTTGACGGAAAGTCGCTGAGAGTAATTCCATGCCGGATAACTCTTGTGCAGATTGTGAGCCTTTACGCTTCTCACCATAACGTTTTAGTGGATCCAAGAAAATGGCAATGATGGCTACGGCAGCTATGATACAAGACAAATAGATCATGGAGATTTCGAAGATTTCATGATCTGGTGGGCGATTCAAGTTGCCATGACCGCCTGAACCTTGCACACAGAAATTGGCACCACAGGATTTGAGTTCTTCTTCGGAGATTGTTGTGTTGGTGTCGCCGCCACTGCCATGAGCGCCGCTCGAAAGCACTGCAATGGGAGAGAAGAGAAAGGTATAAATAAAAGGTGAAAGAAAGTTGTTTTCTTGCCAAGATCGATAATGACTTTACGAAAGTATAATTAATACACGAGGCGAGTGCTCCTAGTGACAAAACAATCAAAAAAGAGAGCTAGTTGGCGTATTATTAATATATTGTACATTCTCATGCATATAACTTACCCAAACTCGAGATCAGATTTCCCCACAGTTCGGCTGTTTGCCAGGCCAAGAAGAAGAATCCAAAGAATCTTACAATAATGGCATCTACAGCTTGTTCTGTTATCTTCGCGTAGACTTGACCGACCTGTGTTAAATAGGTGGCCTTAGATGCCCACATAGGCGCGGCACCCAAACCGACTAGAATACCAGCAGGAACCAATGTGTAGAATCTAGAAGAGAAAAAATGAAAATTGGTTAGGTCAATAAAAATAAAAGAGGAGATCAAATAGATAATAAACAAAATTAAATAACAAAACAGAATATTCCAAAAATTAAAGCCAAGAAAAAAGATTTTATATATAATAAAATTAAAAATAAAACAAAACAAAATGAAATAAAAATAATAAGTAAAAGATACAATAAAATTAATTGATATAAAAGAAAATAAAATAAATAAAATAAAATAAAATAAAATAAAATAAAATAAAATAAAATAAAATAAAATAAAATAAAATAAAATAAAATAAAATAAAATAAAATAAAATAAAATAAAATAAAGTAAAATAAAATAAAATAAAATAAAATAAAATAAAATAAAATTATTAAAAAAATATAATATATAAAATATAAAAATAATATTAAAAAAATAAATCAAACATAATAAATTAATATACAAAATTTTTATAAAAAAATAAAAGAAATAAAACAAAATGAAAAATAAAATCAAATAAAATTAAATTAAATAAAAAATAGCCCTTGTTTTTTTCCTTAATTTTCATTAAGTACTCCAACTCGTTAGTGCAAAATATAAGTGATTATATATGTATGCACGTATACAAAAATTTGTTAATAATACTGCACTACTTACTTTGGGAACAATTGGAAGGCAATGTACGGCGCATAGCACAGCATACTGAAGACCAGAGTCCATTTCACAGTTAACTTGCGTATAATAAGTGTGGGTAGAAAGATACAAGAGACGACGAGCGCTGCATAAATGGCGCTCAACGATACGGTGCCTAAGCCATCTTCGGAATTAATAGAGGACTGTAAATTTGCCGTGCCCTGTTTGAGCGAAACAAAAAGACAACAAACATATTTAAAATTATTAAAAAGTAATAAAAAATGAAAATAAGTGTGTACGAGTGTGTGCATATGAAAACAAAGAGAAAGTGAGTTTTAATAATATGAACATGTGCGCGCAAAGTTTGCGTATAAATAAATATATGTAAGTGGACATGTTTTATTTATTTTTCGATTTTATGTGTAGATAGTGCGTGCGTATGCTCATTTTTTTTTTCATTAGCTATTGGTTGTATGTATGTATGCCCGCTGTTACGCTTGCTTAATATTAACAGGAAACTTTTTTTATTTTGCTTACCTGAAACGCTGTGAATTGTACCATGAATGCAAATGATATGATGGTGATATTTTTCAAAATGCGCCATTTTTCGCCCGGATTTAAAATGACTTTCTCTCTGAGTGATGCTGTGTCTGGTTCAAAACCAGCTTTTGGCTGTAAATAAAAAACGAGAGTGAAATGAAATTAGCTAGATTCGTAAAAATCATCATGTAAAATATAAATTTTAGTAAATTAAATTATTGAATGAATAATAAGTAGACTAAAAATAAGTAATTATAATTAAATAAGCTTATTGATAAATCAAGTGTACATGAGCTAAGTGAAATAAAGTAAATTTGGTACGGAACTGGTCTATAATATGAGCACATCAAAGATGTAAGTGGTTTCAAAAAACTTTAAAAATCAACCCCGCAACCTCACCATACACGTGAGGAATATGTGGAATTGTATAGGTGGTAGGAGAAGTATCGTCTACGCCATCTACTGTCGCTGGGATATTACTGATTATTAACTTTTAAAAGCTTGTTTATTGATTGTTAAAAAAATAGAAATAAATATTTTTTTAGGTTATGAAAATATATGGTTTTTTCACAAAATATATGCTCTCATATTGATAGCGTATTTTAATTAATTGACTGACCTATTTGCATACTTGTGAGACAGGCCAAGTAAACGGCGCTAGGAAAAAATTTGTATAAAGAGTAACCAATAGAGAAATGAAAAATAAATAACTATAAGAAAACCAAATAATTTAAATAACACAATATAAATTTGGGCAAATTTTAAACGTTCTTTTCTATACGCATACTAATTAAAAATGTTGAATGTTGAATTTTGTGTATACGTTAAATATTTAACTTGCACACCAGAAAGGTGAATAGAGAAAATAAGTGGAGATACTAATTAAAATAGCGTTTCTGGCTCTTTGACATTACTATTTGCTTACTATATTTAAAATATTCTGAAAATACAAATTATTTCAACTTTTTTTTTGTTATCCATGTTATCATCTTTGTGTACATATATTAGTATTGCATTTATGTTTTTTTGGTCCAATATTTTTTAGTTTTTGTTACGGAACAATTCTCTATTTTAAAAAAATATTTATTTTACAATCATTTTTATCATTATCCCTACCAACCGCTGGTTATTATCAAAAAAAAAAAGTATTTATTGCATGCATTCACTTTTAGCCTCTGTTCAACCAAGCTAACGAAGCAAATTCGATCCAAGTATAACAGAATAAATAATGGTCTATTTAAATAGGTCTAGGTAATGTATATATAGGTTTACTGTCATTAACACTACGTACAGCATGTATCAAAAATAGGTCTACTCAATAGCAGCCGGAGCCGCAGCTGCCTTGGTATTCCTCTCAGACAATTTCATCACAGAATCAGGCATCATACCTAAGATAGCTGCCCACGAAAAGTGCACCGGTTTTCAAAAGTCTGCCAGAGATTTTTTCACCAATTTTTTATAACATTTTTTTATTTTTATTTTATATAAATATTTTTTTTATTCCACTTGATTTTCTTTTATTTCATTGTATTGAATTTTGGTTTATTTTATTTTCTTTTATGTTATTTGTTTTAGTTTATTTCACTTAGCTATTTATTTTATTTTATTCCATTAAGTTAAGATTAATGTAATAAAATTTTATTATTTTACTTTTATTGTATTTTAATTTTATTTTATTTTACATATTTCACTTATTTTACATCACTGTATTTTAATTAAATTATTTTAATATATTTAATTTTATTTATTTTCATTGATTATTTTCTTTTTTCCATTTAATTAAATTTTTTTATTTACTTTTTTATTATATTTGATTTCATATAATTTATTTCAACAAAATATGATTTTTTTACTTTATTTTAGTTCAAATTGTCTAATTGTTATTTATTTCAATTTATTTTTTCACTTTATTTGATTTTATGTTATGTAATTTTATTTTTTTATCCTATTTTTATGTACTTTATTTCATTTATTTCATTCTGCTAAATTTCTTTAAGTTTTTTTAAATGAAATGAAAATAGTTGCATTTTATTTGAATTTACATAATTTTAATTTTTAATTCAAAAATTTGGTTTTATTTTATTTTATTTTACTTTATTTAATATTTTTATTTTATTTTTTTAGTGTTTTTTTATTAAATTTATTTTTATTATTGTTGATTAAATTAAATTTAGTTTAATTTAGTTTTGTATAAGGTTATTTTATTTTACTTAATTTCATTAAAATTCGTTCTAATTATTTTATTTTGTTCTATATATTTTAACTCCAATCATTTTTTCAGTTTTCTTGTTTCTTTTTGCTTACTTTAATTTAATTTCCTATAATTATATTTAATATAAATTGAAAATTTTTTTCTTTTCTTTTATTTTAGTACAATTTATTTGATTTTACTTTATTATATCCATGTTTATATTATTTTGTTTTATTTCTAATTATTGATTTTTTTATTTTAATTTTTATTTCAGATTATTCTAATTTATTCTAATTGTTATATTTTGCTTTATTTTATTGAACTAAAACTAATGAGTTTAATTATTTTAATTTTTTTCATATACCGTATTTTACTTAATGTTTGAATTAAATTTTATTTGATTTGTTTTTATTTTTTACTAAAATTTCACCCTTCTTGGTTCACATTTAAAGCATGTTCATTTTGCTTAAATGTTGTCAAAACCTTGCGCAAGTTCAAGTACCCTGATAAGTAAGCAAGTGTGTATGTATGAACTTTGTATATACATAAAGACCCTATATAAATGATTTTGCAATACGCCATTTATTTAGACTTGCAGCAATTCATTTTCATACCAAAATTCACCTGTATAAATACGTGTGTTTGTTTTTATTTTAATTTCCTTTTGTTTTCATATACTTATTTATATTGTGGTTGTTATACTTAATTAAAACATAAAATTCTTCTTTTATTTACTTATGTATCTACATATTTACGTACAATTGAAACAAATGAACCAATTGAACAAAATGAAAAGTTTTGGTGTAATGACATCTTCAGCAACCTTCATGCGTCACGTATCTAACAAGTGAAAAAACTATGCGTGTTGCGCCCGTGAAAACGTTCACATACGCCTGTGCACTATAGAATTCGCGAACAAGTGAGAAAAACAGGTAACAACAACAATGAAGCTCAATGTGACGGACAATGTCGTCGTCGTACACGTCACGGCACCAACACAGTATATTGCACTAAGCAAATGCAACAAGGACGATTCAAAAGATATAATTTCAATATTTTTTCAAAACTTAAATATACTTGATAGTCGATTTTCTATTTCTACGGCACACGTATGTGTATGTGTGTTTTTTTTTTTGGCAAATTCTTTTGTCAAATTGCTGTTTCAACACTCGTGTTTACCGAAAAAACCGAAAAGCAAAAAAACCGACAATATTAGTCCGTGAAATAGAAATACGAATTTGAAAGTAGCGTATTGCACATAGTATTGAATTTTTTTTTTTACTTTTTATTTTTATAGTATAAGTTCAAAGCAACGGTAAATCATTGAAATTTCTTTGCGGAACACTTTTACCCGAAGGATGTTTCTATGTATAAGATCGATTGGCAACTGAAAAGTAAAGATCACAACGAACCTAACTGATGCTCTTTATTTTTTTAAATAATCATCTACTTTATTATGTTCATTCTCGTTGAAGCGCAGAGGCGAGAAAATGTCTTGACAATACATATGTACATATAAATGTACGTATGTATGTATGTACATATATGCGCGCAAATATATACATACTACTATAATACACTAAGTACATATGTTTTTATTTACATACATATATGCGTCTATACACATCGAGAATACGCAGCATTTTCGACCAAACATCGTGATCGCCTTCGAAAACTCAGACGAAAATTGAATGCTTTCGTCATTATGGCCGTATAAGTAATTGTCAACCCATAAGCAAATACACGCAAATATTTAATTTATTGAATGTACATATATATATATATATATATATGAGAGCGATTTTAATTCGTAGGATTGCCGAAAATATCAACAAAAAAGGTTATTTATACGCGAATATACATATATACCATATATTTGCTTTCATTTAGCCGCTGATGATGATGTTGGGATCTTATATACGTGAATTATTTAATAATAATTGATGAAATCAATATTTTTTCCTTAAGTTCTGCGCAAAACATTAATAAATTGGGGTAACAAGCGCCGCGCGGTATAAATGTACAACAAAGTGTGTGTAAGAGCAAAAAGAGCACTTAGTTTGTCTATGGCGCAAAAGAGTTGAAGGTGGGTTTTTTTTTTTTTGCCTCCTTATTTCTTTATTAGCCACTCGTGTAAAAAGCGCACTCATTATGTACACACTGTCCTCTCTCAATTAAGAAGTGAGAAAATCGTTTTCATTTTGCCATTGTTTTGTTTTTGGAACAAAGCCAGGCGCCGTTGGCAGACTGCGAGAACTTTTGATTTTTCAAAAACATGTTGTCGTTGAAATTCTCATGTTTTTAGCATAAAAGGACTGGTTGTACATTTTTCGGTATGAAGCTCAGTACATCAAACTGAGAAGAATTCTGTGAAGTACTAAGGAAAGGCTCAACAAATTATTTGCTGAAAAGCTTTTACTGCTATTCTGGTGCGAAAAATATTCCAAAGCATCATATTTGAAATACAATAACACGAGCGGTCACAACAAAAAATTCGACCAATTTGCACAATTAACTGTTATAATCCGTTGATTTGTTGGCAGAAAAAATTAGTATATAATAATTTGTTAATAAAAAATAATAATAATAATAAAATAAAAGGTAAAAATATCTAAGAAAAAAAAGAAACTGCGGTACATAGTCTCTATGAGCAAACACCGTTTCTGGCGATCGCGCAAAATAGGCAGAATTTACTCTTTTTGAGGATGAGTAAAATAATTACAAATTAATATATTATAATAAAAGAGATGAAAGTAAATTTTGAAATATACACATATGTGCGCTACAAAGTAGAAAGACCGAAGAAGCGTCTCGAAGCGTACAGAAAAGGGAGCAAAAAATAAAAACAAACAAATAAAGTCAATTATGAACAAAAATAAATCGTAGACACGTATTTCTTGGGTGAATCCAACGTTGGCAGACGGTCTAGCTAGTAAAAGAG